AGCTTACCTGGGGTAATCTATAACCTTTTCTTGACTGGGCAAATTTATCATGATATAAGGTTATGACATCTACATCTCGAAGCAATATGCGATTTGATTTGGCTAAACCAGTTAGAACTGAACGAACTTGGTAATCATACCTTCACAGAAACAAAAGCACAGAGAAAGAAAAACTAGGGAGAACAACATCGTGGAAACTGAAAATGACGTGTAACAACTTTCGCGCTTAACTTGTCCTTAAAGTAAAGGTCACCATTCGAAATCAAATTTATAAGTTAACTATTTTACATGATTTCACGTCCTTCCTGAATCTGACAACGTCTTTTTTACGCTAATAAGGCCTTACGTTTGATTGTAGACACTAAATGTTTGACGAATCATCTGATAGGTTCTACATTCTCCCAAATGCAATTCAGCGATGGTGTGTTCAAGCCTTCTAATATGACCATTTGGTCAACTTATAACTAGGAGAAGGAACAGATTTTACTTAAAAGTACGATACACTGTTCCGACTTGAATTAAATGTTCCCAAGAACTACCATTCTGCCACATATGCAACATTCTGCATCAAGACATCTTCGGTTTCACAATCTATCATCAAAAAAGCCTTGCTAAATTAATAAATTCACTTAGAATCAACTTCCAAACTTACCAGGTATTTAGGCAATTGACAGAGACCTATTGGTCGTCGCCGGAACCCGGTGAAAACATTTACTAAGTTGTTGACTAAATCAGGCCCAGAATAAAGATTCTTGGTTAAAGGCGTCTCAGCATACTGAGCTGCACAACCGAACACTATTCCTAACTTGTTAGGCTTCTTGGGATGGAAGACAGCGTGATGGGGAAGACACGAAATTCGTTCATCAAAGTTGATATTGTTTACTTTTTCGTCATAATCTCGTTTTATATGCCGAGTCATGGCGTTCACATAGTCTTGGAGAAACTTCGTATCCCGAATAAGTCGACCTTTCAAACAGCTGAGTCTACGTTCTGTTAATTTCTTATTATAAGGTAACTCGTGTTAGTGCCTCCAAGGCAGAGCTATGTGATAGTGCCGATTTAACCTTTGCACTGAATTTAATAAAGAGCTGAATGCTATACGATCTTCCACAGACATCGATGGAGTACGACTAAATGGGTCTTTGAATTCAGTTGAATACAATTGTTCAAACATATCCTCTAGTAAACAATATTGGCTCACCGAGAAATCTATGGCCTAAAGCCATTGTCGAACACGTAATCTATGACCCTGATGGACGAGTTCGTACAGCAAAGTTGAGAACAGCGAACGAAGGAACCGTTCGGGATGTACGAAAACTATACTTTTGAAAGCCGGTTATCTGACGGTGAAGACGACCTAGGACGATAAACGTGGTGTGCGTTTCGGGGGAAGTGTAAAGTGTGATCGATAAACGAACCCATTAATGATAAAGTGAAACTGCCATCATCACATTGACTTTCTTTGACCCTGTATGACTGTCTTGTTTATTCGCCAATCACAATTTTATGTTCATTATAAAACAATATTCGCCTTGTTGACCCATTTTTCCCATCCTCTAGTTACTGTTCGGTTTGTTACTTATGTCTCTGTTTTTCCCTGTGTTAACAGACTGTACTGTTTGTTTTGTATACTAACGGTGTTAATTTATGTTCCAGAAACAGATAAAGTTTATCAAGCCATATAGCTTACTTGTTCTGACTATGGCTAAACCAAGTCTCTGTGTTCGACAGTCTACAAAATAACTTAGAGTTACACCTGTAGACAAATTACTTCCTACACATCTTTTAAATTTTTTTAAATTTTCATATACCGCATCAACCTACACATTAACCAGGCTTACACATGCGTTGTAATATATCTTCTCTGTCATTCGAATTTAATAATTAGTAGAACCGTCTTTAAAAATTTTCACTAAACCCATCGTCGTCATTGCTGTGCGTATTTAGTTTTATGAATTGATCTGTCGTATTAATTGACAGATTTGGGTACCATCACACTGCACTAGTACGATATTTAAACTATAAGGTAGTTCTCGGTCAAACCAATTTCAAATCAAAACTCCGGAGCCTACTATTAAAATTAAGACTATGTAGAAGAATATTTTTGAATTGCAATTTGTAATATAATCAGGCAGCCTAGATTCCTTCGTAGTGGGATTAGGCCCTAACTACATAATCCTTTAAGCTGAATACGAGACAATATGGGAAATAGATATTCAACATTTAACACGGAGAAAAGCCCGACGATGAAGGCAGGAAGAATGAATTAAATTAATTAGAATTGATCGGACGGCATGGCTCGGCCTTGCAGTCGTGGTAGATCTGTACAACATGCTTCTACTCATATTAAATATATTTTTCTATCTCTAGCCCAGCCTGAATTTGTTTTCCGTCATGTATTGGTAATTAGTACGATGCAATGAGTCAGTGTAGACAATGATGTGACTTCCACGTAAGACTTATGGATTATGCAGCCACACTTTGCTTTGACGAAAAAGTTAAGACCAAAAGTCCTGAAATTGTTGACAATAATAAAATATTTTACTCCCCATTCTTGTGCACTTGCCGTTGCTTGCTCCAACCACGATATATGTGTACACTGGTCGGTGGTAGGCAACGTAAACATACCAAACAAAGTGGATGGATTTGAGCCAGGTTATTAAATTACAACTTCAACGAACAAACAAAAATTCTAACACCGCCTCACCCTTATTTACCCTCGCGAAAAACTAACATTTCGACCCACTCACAGAATTTAGGAGGCTGGGGTAACATTTAATATAGTTACCATCTAATTCGAATAAAATCTGCATACTAAGAGGGTTGCTGTAATCTCGACGACTATTTCGTCATTTCTTCGATGCTTACTAAAGGCCTAAGGTATGGGGAAATGCGTTCCTAGACGTGGTAGTAAACCCAATTACCAAAGATTCTGTATTTTCAGTAGCAGTACATGACTAACAGATAGTAAAGAGTAATATTATGTTATTCTTTGTCGAGAACGAACAAATTCCTCCTTACTTTAGTATGACTGACTTGCTTAACATGGTTTTGATCACATTACCATAGCAATGATTACAATCAACTAAAAATATTGGTGTTTTGGCCGACTGTCCAGCTTCCTTACTTGTGTAAATTTGCATCCATTAAAGCCTGTTTTACAGCAACAATGCCATTTTGATTTTTCAGCTAGGCAGTTATCCATTCCACTTCCGGTCAACTGAAAACGAGCCATTTAAATACTTCGTATAAAAATATTTTGGGAAGCATATCAAACATGCACAACTATAGTGGTAGCCTGAATTTTAAAGGCACAGTAGAGCAATGTCAAGCAATATCAGGAAATCTGTTGATAACTCACTTTCATAGTTTTTCGCCATCATTGTCCTGCAAGTAACAAATACTGGTGACATTTATGAATGATCGATCTGTTGGAGTTGAATGAAAATAATATGACCTGATATCTAACATCGATGTCACACTCCTCAGTTAATAACTGACGTTGCCAGTCTGGTCGCGCTTAAAAGTGGGTCGTATAGAATAAATGTTAATTATAGGCAACAGCATATGTTAGTAAGATCAGGATAGAGAAAAATGAAGATGAAGCACGTTTCCATGATCCCGTCCATGAAGCGCAACAGACTGAAACTCATTGTTTGTCACTGAAACCGATGAGGTTGAGTAGACTGTCTTACCTTATCGATCCTTCGTCTAACGCCGAAACTGTTCATGGACCAAAGACATTTAATTCCCCTTACTATTCTGTAGGAAGTATTCAAACTCTGGAACCATGTTGCGTGTTTGGGACTTAGTTTTTGACAACAATTTGTCCAATGTGGTACTTTATTCGGTATGACGTTATTCTATTTGAGTGTAGTGTTTGTTCAAGTTACGATGTCCTTGTATTAAATCAACATGAACTATGTTCAGCATGACATTCAGCATATGATCTGGATAACTTATTATTTTTCATGTATGTGATTTCATTTTAATTAATAATCAAAATACGTGTACAGTCAACATAAAATAAGCGTATTTTCTACTGGGGTTGTCGTCATGTTTTAGGTTTAATAAGTCTTCATTTGCTTAAGTATTGGTGTTCTTACTTCGCGTCGTGGGGATCGCAGTGTTTCCTTCTTTTTACATGTATGAGTAATAAGTGATTACGACATAAAAATTAGCAACGATCTGACATATCACTTAGCCAGTCTCTGGTTAGGATGACAGATATTTCAGGCTTCATGACGCTTGAGTGTGCAACACTGTTTTGATTGGAGGACGTCAACCCAATCAAAACGGAAACCAGGTTTGAATGATTTCGTAGACATTATGTCAATTTTGTCGATATACTGAGTAGCATTTGGTCGAAGCTGGACGGTAGTTGCAAGTGATACTTAGAACGGTGTACCCTCTCGTGATCTGTGTAGAATGTGAGACTGGACGCATTCAAATAGAGTTTGTCCAGTAAAACCAATCAAGACGTCCAAGACAGAATTACTAATTTTGCGGACTTAATTATCGTACATTTAATTCAACAAAGTCAAAAATCAAAGGAGTTTATTCAAACTTAATCATTCAGCACACAGTTTTTTTTAACACAAACTAACTAGTAAGCACCTGAATAACATCCACGACATTTGATGAATTCATATTACACATCCCTAAGTAATGCTTTTCAGGTATTCTTTGCAATAGAAGTTAATATCTGCGAACAATGACATCAATATCAAGTTCTTGAGCATACTAGACGCCCAGTCTCAATCATAAAAAATGTTGAGTTAAGGATGACAAAACTGGATGTTGTACATTGTAAATCAATGTTTTATTGCTTCATACATTGTCATTGCCTCTTTGTCTCTATTCAAAAAAGTAGCACGATATCGCGTCCCAAAGTTAACATCGAGTTGCTTATCTATGTTCATTAGGATTATTACTTTCCAACATGATCGTCTTTAATGTGCTAACTACTCGGTCCTCTATGGGCCTTTCCCTGAGGCAATATGCACAATAAAACACGTGTGGTTATATACAAGGGAACTATTTACAAATATAAAGTAAGTTTATCATTTTGCTTTCATTCAGTCATTCAACATTTTATGTCTTGGAACCCATTCTATAGGTTAAAATTGCAAAGTCTGATGCACCTAGTTGACTAAAAAATCACCATGCTCATGTTGAAAATAGATTCAGTATACCATGGGAAACACATGTAAATCCAAGGGATGAAACTTTCTGAACCTCATCACTCACGGATTTGGTTTTAATCACTGTTAGTCGTCTCAGGGTTCTGGAGTTTTAGTAAGGATCACTGCAGTAGTTCAGTCATATCCAAATTTTTGCATCCTGTTTTTTAAGAAAAATGGACTTTAATAGCTGCCTCACAATGAAACGATAGTTCAATAATGTCATGGGATTTTTACTGTCAGTGGTTTTCGTGCTACCTGCGAAGTTATCATTGCACAGTTTGAAAAGTCGTAGTGCGTTGAGCTAAAGCGAGTTAAGGTTTGTATAAGACGGTGACGAAGTAAATACTACCGATCATACAGAACATTTGAAGTACAGGGCATTCTGTTTATTAGAGTGTTTGATAATCAGATCAACTAACTTACACTTGTTATGCTAATCTAGACTTGTTTTAAAAATTTCGTCTCATATTCTATAAAAATGAATCCACATCCTATATAAATGGCTTCCAAATTTTGTTTTAATCGAATCATAGATGAAAAAGCTATTGTTCTTTGGGGATCACTCCGGAGTGATCTTTACCAGGTAAACAAAATAAGTAAAGAATGAAGTCATGCCACAGTGATCCAACGGAACTTTTGCACGTAAACTGTCTATCTATCTAGCAAATGTCCGGCGCTCTAACGGCGTTGGTGAACACGAAGGGTCTACCTAGGGGAGTTGGAAAACCCTGATTCAAACTAATGGTGCACATGGGCTGACTTCAGGATTCTGAGGGAACAAATGGCGTATGAACCAATCTTTTGTCACCGGCTACCGTGGGACTGAATCTCCTTACGATGCTCCATTGTCTTATGGATCAGACCTTTAAGTCGAAGGCTCTGGGTGTGGCCCCCTAAGAAAACCACGTGTTTCGGCTTGGGCACCCGAGCAGTATCACAGCCCTCACACAAATCAAATGAGTTTTGTGTGGCGCATATGTATCTGTTGCTCCCTTGTACCAGTATTTATGTGTTCAAATAAATAAATAATTAATCCAACTCGACTTCGTTGAGGTTTATTGCTAAGGTGACGGTTGCGGATCAAAAAAAGTATGTAGAATAAACGAAATTCCTAAATGTCTCTCAGAGTACAGGCACGTTTGATACAGGATATCAATACTAAAAAATCATACAAATAATAGGTGGACGGTCTCTGAAACGATAACAATCTCACAATGATGATATTATTGGCAAGGTTTCAAGAAAAAATACAGTTATTCAATAAAACCCTGAATCTGTGCAAACTCTACCGGCTAGAACATGGGTAAAAATAATAAGCTGATGGTTCCTCGTAACAACTCTAAAACTAAAATGAAGCTAGCTTTGTGTAACAAAAGTTTGATTAATTAAGATACTTAGTAGGTAATTATTATTCACAAGCCACTATATATTTATGGTTATTTATTGATATACATGGTGTCTTAAAAGTAAGTATCCGCAAACTCTTCATCATCTGACTAATAAGCGCTCAAGACGACCAAGTGAGCACTAAACGTATCTGTGTGAATTCCAAGTTATTTTAGCGCCTTTTGCTAATGTTAGTTGGTTTATCTGACAATAGGACTTCCGTCTCGAACCATTGCGAATAACAACAAGTTAGGTTGGAGCATTTTTGTTTCTGCATGGTCAACGTGTGAACCAATGCACAGTTTCTGTCTAAACCAACTTTTTAAATAACCCAGAGACCATAGAAAGTAATTTCTATCAAAAATACACCTTCCTGCAAATTCTAGAAATCTTATCCTGAACTATAACATTATCTCTAAAGTCGGGCGCTCTATTTTATGACCGACAAATTTGGTCTTTAATAGCTGCATCGCCATATTACGATATGGACTTGATTCTCATAGACTTTATTGGTTCTAATCTAATTTTTTTAAAGTTCATGATTTAAATAAATAAACTTGTGCTCATTAGGCCAATGAAATATTAGCTACTTAAAGGATTGATGGCTTTGATGTCAAGCTTGTGTCAGGCTGCACTACTGAAGAGTTCCAAACTATGACAAAATAACTGTCCATTGCACTGGTTTTTATGAATTTATTTTGTACAGTGTTTACCTAGAAATTAATCTATGTTTAAATGGTCAGTTAACTAGGTAAACGTTCGACAGTATTACCTATGTTATAGAAAATAGGATCTATCAAAAACCTTTACCTTCTGAACAATGTATATATATGCATATGTATAACATCTGAATATTTACCTCACTGAATAATATAATTTCTGGTAGAGTACTCTCAGACTATCGCCAATGTGGTCAGTCTATTAATAAGATTATTTTGCTCATTAAATACCTTACGCCCAATATGACGTTTGCTGATTGTTATTAACCACCCTGCGCAGCAGTTCGTTCCGTCCTACTTTATGGAAGTGAAACATGGCCAGTAAGAGTAGAGGATATCCGTAGGTTACTAGTATTTGATCATAGGTGTCTTCGAAATATTGCTCGTATATCCTGGGACCATTAAGTAAGTAATGCAGTTGTTAGGAAACGGGTACTAGGTAAGGATGGTAAATAAATTGATGACGTAGTGAGACTTCATCAGTTGAGATGGTTTGGACATGTGTTACGTATGTCCAACCAACGACTGCCTCGATGTGCGATGTTATGTTGTATAGGAGTAGATTGGAAGAAAGCTAGGGGTGGCCAGACCAAAACATGGAACAAGTCCATGAAGTCACTGACAAGTGAACTGAGTCATATTGGTAGGTGTAGACTACCTGATTGGGGACCGCGAGATGATAGCAACCGATGGTTAGAGACCCTGAATGACATGGCTCAAAACCGTTTGCAATGGCGCAGGTGCATCCACTCTTTGTGTTCTCCCAAATTCTAATCTGTATTCTTCATGTCCCTTTCTTTTTCTCTTTCCAAATTTATTTCACTGGATTATGCTCCTTGAATAACATCTTCAAACCCTGATTTTTCTGATTACAGCTCATAATTTTACTACATCTAGCACTACGGGATTTGAATCGACCACTTCATCTCTGTGCTAATGTGGTGTGGCAACTCGAACGGATGTACGTACGTACGAAGTTCTACGTTATTACTGACTGACTGACTGACTGAACCACCCTCACCTAAGTCTATTTAATTGAATTTGAATATGAAAAAGTTACTTGTATTTGAACTGTTTTAATCATCTAACCGTTGTTTGGTTTTTAAAGATACTAATAACAAGAATTTAGAATATCAAATATAACATTTTATAATTCTATTTTTTTTCAGTGTTAAATAGCCACATAATAATTTTTTTAAAGCAAATGCTTAATAAGTTATAATTTGTGATTTTAAAGTTTTTCTAACAAATTCAATACTCTACACAATAAAACGATTCATTAATATCTAACAGATTTGTACATTATTTAGTTATTCACACCTGTTACTCCCAATGGAGCATAGGCTTCCGACTAGCATTCTCTAACCCATAATAAGTTTAATTTCAGTAAAATGTTGTTATGGTTTATGTATCATAAATTACTTATCCTATTTTTTATTGAACTTTAAAATTCTTGTGTTTCTTTTGATGTAGTCTTACATAAATTCCAAAGAAAACATATTTACTAATCGAATAACTATTGTATATGGCCTAATATCTCTTTTTAAGTCATCAATTTTGTGTAAGCTTTATGTGCTTAAAGTACCTATAAATAAAAAAACCCAACCAAATCAAATGTCTGAATAAAACCAGTTTCTTATGATTAGACAAAATTTAGTCCTACACAATTAATGAACATTTACCAAAAGCTGAAGCATATTTATGATTTAAAAATAATGTTTTTATGTTGACCGTCAAACTTAACAGTGAGCGTAAGTTCATACTAACTGATTGACATTTACAGGATCATAATGACCGATGGTTCATCTTCAAATATGTGTTTCGCTGCGTAAACTGTTCCATTCTCCTCGAATATTACTTATTGACTATACACTGACTACAACTACAACTACAACAACCACTAATATTAGATACAATAATCACACGAACCACAAACAGGTAGTTTCTACCTACCTATCTACATGAGTCAGTTCAATAGTCACTTTTCATGAACTTAATGTCATATCTTAGTTTGACCACCATTTACTTCCCTGCAGAATACTCCTACACGAGTCATTATCGCGTTTCACTAACTCATTAAGTGATTCGCCATTCTTACCCGGTGCTCTGAATGAGATTTGTGTGGGGCACATGTATCTGGTGCTCCATTGTACCAATATCTGTGTTCAAATAAATAAATAAAACATAATAACTCTGAATCCAGCCTCAAAATTGCTAACTCGATAGTCTAAACATTTATGGACAACAATTTGAAGACATCTGTGATAGAATGCTAGTAAGCTATAAATATCCCCTGTTTTTGAAGACCACGTTTCACACTGGAAAGTAGAACGGAGCTAGCTTCTGAGCAGTATAATTGTCATTTGGTTGAGAGACGAATATCTCGCCTACGCGAGAGGTGATTTAATTTTGTAAAAATTAGTCGAGATTTAGTCCGACACCAACCCACCTGGGCTAGTGAGACTTTCAAGATAAGTGGAGTGCTTTACACACTCAATTATTTTACTCCCTATCACAAGCTTAGCTGTTGATGCAAATTAATCCTGAAGCAATATCTTTCATTTAGTGGGAGCGAAACGCATCCGAAAAATGCTAGCATTATTGCCTACAATGATCAGAAAACTCTTCATTTTTTCAGTATTCTCATCAAACAGGACTATGTCATCTGCATATTCTAAGTTCACAGGAGATTCTTCTGGCATAGAATCAATTCCTAAAAAGTTAGATAATCAGAATGTTATCTCAAAAATATTTCAAAATTAA